CGGATTTCGAGTTTAGCGCGTCGAAGCCAAACATCGAAACGTCGAGTTGAATCCAGGATTCGACGAAGACGAGAAAATAATTCAAACGACACAAAGGTCAAAACCTTGGTCATAGCCCCGCATCGGCCTAGCATGGTGCTAGCCATGCGGGGGCTAGGCCGAGGACAACTATTCATTGCCGCAAGCATGGCAGCTAGGCCGGCTAGCCATGCACGCAGCATGGCAGCCAACCCAGCACACCATGTGGGGCATGGCTAGCAGCGCCAGGTTGTGTGTGCATGCCAGCCACTTGTGCTGGGCTAGCTACAGCTAGTAAGCCTAGCCAAGGGGTCAAGCCGTTAGCGTGGCGTGCCTTGGAGCCCAAGGGCTGCCAGCTGGGCGAACCTAATAAGGGGGTGGGTGGCCTTGTTAAGCAAGGGAAAGGAAGTGGTCCTCCTCCCTTGTGGTCCTTACCTACTCCCTCCTTGGTATTGTGCCAAGTGTCGTTTAATTGTTTGCTCATGGTATTTAATTTTTTTTTAAGAATTAAATTAAATGCTATTTTTCTCACTTTATCACAAGTCCCACATTGGAAGAATTATGAGGGAGTAGGAGATGCCAAGTCTATAAATACTCAAGCAAGGGGTTTGGGGAAAGACACTTGAGTTGAACTCGAAAAAGGCATCTCCAATATAAATCGTGAGAAAACCTTTAGAGTTCGTAAAACTCATATTTTGGTTTGCTGTTTCGTCTAGCTATTAAACCCAACCTAGTTCGGGCACGAGGGTGTGCGAAGTGGGAGGAACGCGCGAGTGCGGTTCTAAAGCTTTCGATATCAAAGGTCGCGTTCGTGTTCGAGGTGAAACACGCGTCGAGGGTAAGATAGTCTTTCTCTCTTTATATGTTTATTTGTTATATGCATATTAGTCGTAATAATTTATACATGTGGTCCGGGGCGGGGTTTGGTTCTGCACGGTGTTCGAAACACCGTAAAATCGACAAGCACAGTATTATCTTGTGATATGAGTTGCTAAATAACACAATATAAGCAAACAAGGAATTGAATGTGACATCAGGTATAACAACGACTCAATTGATAATTCACGGCACTAATTTATCTTTAAAACCTAACTTTACACTAGTACTAGTAAATAGCCTTAACACCTACAACAACAAGAAGAAGCTCATTTATGTTGCATAGCAAAGGAACGAAAACTTGAAATATAGAAAATAAGAAACAAGAACACACAATTTTCAATAAATCAAGAAATTAAGATATGCAAAAACGTAGAGTTGTTCATGGACGGGATGGCCCGCTAGGCCCGCCTTACCCGGCCTACAAAACGGGCGAGTTTGGATAACAAATTTTTTAGAAAATTAATATTTGGACGGCCTAGGCCCGACCATCTAATATAAATGGGCGGACATGGACAAGACAATTTGTGCCGTGGGCTAGCCCGTTCGGCCCATTTATTAAAAAAAATAATTATTTAATAAATTTTTTATTTAGGTAAATTATGTACATATGTTTTAGAAAAAAGAATACAAAAGAAAGTATATAGGATTAAAGCTAAATAACTAATTTTTCCTTATTTAAATCTTATCATCGGAGACTTATTATATAAGTCCTTTGATGAGTGCCATTTATAACATTCAAATGGCATTATTTTGGGATGATTTTAGTTGCTTTAATAGATTTCTTTATGCCTTTTTCCTTATCTTTAGTTTTTTATTCTCTAGTTGATCTCATTCTGGTTATTTCTCCCTTTTCCTTGTATTTTTGTAGTTTTTATAGTCTTTTCCCTTTTACTTATTTTCCTTTCTTCATTTTCAGGTCTAAGGTGAAGTCCTAGGCCCTTCATGGTGATTCCTCGGGTTAGAAGATGCTCAAGTGCAAGGTGGAAGCTCTCATATAGCTCACAAAGAAAGGGATGGCTTACCCAAAGACTTGATGCTTGCGCCTCATGCTGCGCTTACATGAAAGTGTGGTGTTGAACCCACCGTAAACTCATTTTGGGACTGCCATCCCCAATGACGATCAAGAGGAGCGCACCTCTTGCATTGAAAAACGCACGGAGGAGATCCCATGCTCCAAGGGCGCGGGCGCGCCCACCTGAGTTCCAAGTTCTGTACCCTTTTCTTCGCGGCTGCGCACTCCGAAGTGAGGGCGCGCCTGTACAGGTTTCTTTTGGACGTCCACTTTATTTCCTTTTAGTTAGTTATTCTAGAGAGAGAACTATTCATTGAGTTCTTAGAGATGCTAAAGAGAGAAGTTTTAGAGTGAGTTTTAGGGAGCTTTAGATTTAAAGAGAGAAACTCTTGGATTTTGATTTGTACTTCAACAATTGCTTCAATCAAGTTTGGATTTCCTTCAATCAATGATAATTAGTGAGATTTTCTTCCTTTAATTCCTCTCTATTGCTTGATTTTGCTTTTGATTCATGAATGATTGCTTGATTTGTTGATCTTTTGGTTAGTGGTTTGATTGATTTGAATTTTACTTGATTTAGTTTAAGATGATGATGTTTGTGATTTACTTAGTTTTGTTCTTAATATCAATATGCTTAGTGAGTAGACTCCTTTCTAGGGAGATGGTGAAACATGCATGAATGATTGATTATTGCTAATTGATGGATTTTGATTGAATGAATGTTGTGATTAAATTGGTTGATAGAATTGTGCATGTGGTTGAATTGTTAAGGAGTGATCAACCTTGATTTTCAAGCTAGATTGCATTATGATTTCTAATGACACAAACCATTGATTTAGGGATTGCAATTATTGATTGAATTTGATTTGTGATTCTTCTTGCTAGTCATTCATAGAGGAAACCTAGCTTGACTTCTAGGAGATAACCTATTGGATTCTCTTGATTGCAATTACTATTTTCCTTTGCAACATTTGGTTGATTGATTTTCCTTCAATTAGCATAACTATCCTGATTGTATGTGGATCCTAATCCATAGTGCTTTTGGTATTGATTTTTGATATGATATTTGCTTTTGTTTGATTAGCCTTCTTGATTACACATTCACACACTCTTCGAAATAGCTTAACACATAGACTATAGTGATTGACCCCCCATTCCTCGTGGTTCGACCCTCGACTTGCCCTATACTCGGTTTAGGTTTGGTTGAGTGTTATAAATTTTGTTGATAAGGTTTTAAGCATTTAACGACGTGCTTAGACACCCCCTATCAAATTGCCGCCGTTGCCGGGGAATGGCGTAGTTGTTTACTATAGTTGTTGAGTCTATTTCATTTTATTTGAAAAACACAAAAAGATTTTTCCCCTTTTGGCTACATTAGTAGTTGTGCTACTAATATTTTCTTTTGAGATTGTATGCATAGAGCACGTGGTCGTTCTCTGGTGCCATTTGATCCGGAAATAGAGAGGACAATTACGAAGATAAGAGTTGCTAGGCGTTCCTCAAGTCTCCCAAGACAAGAAGAATAAAAAGAAAGAATGGGAGAAAACCCAAGAGTGGCTTTGAAGGAATTAGGGATTCCGGGTGCATATAGGTTCGAGAGCGGGATTGCTCTACCTATAACACCGGAAAATGATTTTGAAATTAGACCGTCAATGATCACTTTGATAGAGAGGCGACAATTTAGTGGGCCAAGCACGAGAGTCCTCTTAATCACCTTAAAGAATTTGAGAAGTATTGCAACACTATCAAAGTGAACGGAGTTTCGCAAGAGTTCATTTGTTTGAAGCTTTTCCCCTTTTCTCTCATAGGGCGTGCTTTGGAATGGTTGGATAAAGAAGTCAAGCCGAACTCATCAAGGACATGGGATGAGGTTACTAAGGAATTTCTGTCTGGGTTTTACTCCCAAAAGAAAACGGCGAAGGCAAGAGCACTAATCCAAGGTTTCAAGCAAAGATATAATGAAAGCCTCTATGAAGCTTGGGAAAGGTACAAAGACTATCAAAGAGAGTTTCCTCACCATGGAATTCCCACCTATATATCAATCATTCAAATATTTTATGGTGGTCTAAGCCCTCAAGGGAAGTCTTGTCTTGATGCGAGAACCGAAGGACCCATAATGAACAAAACAGAAGAGGAAGTTGTGGATATTATTGAAGATGTAGTGAGGCATTATATGGATTGGAAAGACGGTGCAAAAGAGTCAACTATCAAGGATAACTCTTTGGCGTACTCGGTTGATCATCTCAATGCCATCAATAACTTGTCCTCACAAATCTCAAATCTAGGGAAGGAGATGACTTCTATCAAAGCCAAATTAGAGAATGCTTCGTCTCTAGCACCTATTCTTCCCTCCCAATTTAAGGGGAGAGGTACATCTTCTAACTCTAATCCTCCTCCCTCTTCTAATAACATGCCAAGTGGATTCTTGTTTTATGATGTATGTGGTTCATATGATCATGATGCTTTTAATTTCCCTCATGCTTTTTCGGATGGATGTGATGATTTTGATAGTAATGAGAATGAGCATGTGAGTTATGTGTCTAATAATAACAATGGTCCAAGGTTTGATAATTAAAGAGGCCAATGGAATAGGAACTATCACAACCAAGACAATTTTGACAACTATAGCCAAGGTGGTGGTTATAGAAACCAAGGTTTCCGAGGACTATAACAATCAAGGTTATAGTAGCTAAAATCAAAGCCAAGGTTATGGTCATAATAATCAAGGTTATGGTAACCATAATCAAAGCTATGGCCAAAATCAAAATAGGGGTAATTGAACACCCAAAATAAGGGTAACTTTTAAAACAATGCTCAAAGGGGTCCCCCACCCTATTTTGTTCCAAAGACCCAAGGTCAAGGTGATAATCCCTATGCTAAACCTTATTCTTCTAGTTCTAATTTGGAGGATATTTTCCCAATTCAAACCAAGTTGTTGATCACTTACATGTCCACTAGTGATAAAAAATTCAATGACATGATGACTCATAATAAAGTGTTAGAAAGCCAACTTTCCTAACTAGCTAATTCCTTGAAAGAACATGCAAGCCCTTCTTCTTTACCTCCTCAAGGTTTAGATCCTAAGAGACCCATGAATGCTATTATGACAAGAAATGGAAGGATTCTTAAGGATAATGTGCCTAAGAGGAATTTAACTAAGGAAAGCTCAAGTGATGTTTTGGTTGATGATGAAGGAGATAGAGAGCCTTTAAGTGAGGTTATAGATGAGAAACCATGCGAAAAAGAGAAAGAAAAGGAAGTTGTGAAACCCAACCTTCCTTACCCCCAAAAATTCATGAGGCACAAATTGGATGAACGATTTGGGAAATTTATTGAGATGCTTAGGCGACTTCATCTTACCCTTCCATTCACCGATGTTATTGATCAAATGCCGAATTATGCTAAGTTCCTAAAAGACATTTTGAGTGGAAGAAGGACTTGGGATGCGGTGGAAACGGTTATCTTAACCGAAAATTGTAGTGCAATCATCATGAACAAGATGCCACCTAAGTTGAAAGACCTCGGAAACTTTTCTATCCCTTGTGTCATTTATAAGATGCAAATTGATAATGCCTTGTGTGACTTAGGATCTAGTTTTAGACTTATTCCATATTCGGTTTATCAAAGACTTGAGTTAGGGGAACTTTTTCCTACCAACATTACCTTGCAATTGGCCGATAGATCAATTAAGATTCCAAAGGGTAAGGTAGAGGATGTTCCTTTGAGGGTAGGAAAGTTTGTGATTCCGACTGATTTTGTGGTTCTTGAAATGGATGAAGATGCTAACATTTCCATCATACTTGGTAGACCTTTTCTTGCTACCTCGGGTGCCATGATTGATGTAAAGAGTTCTTAGATTTCACTTAAGGTAAGAGAAGAGGTTATTGAATTTGATTTGAATGAAAGCATGAAATATCCCTCTTCTTCACTTGAGAATTGCATGAGTATTGAAATTGTAGACAACATTGTGAATTCCATGCATGAGCACTTGTTCACATCTAATGATCCTCTTGAGTGTGTTTTGTTGAATAAGGAAAAGATAGGTGATCATGGCAAGGAAATGGAATTTTTTGAGACGCTCATTGATAGGAGCATGGAAGAGAGTGATGACCATATTTGCATGAGAATTACAAGTCAAGATGCATTGAAAATCGCTTCAACAAAGGAAAGTAAAGGTGTTCCCATGGTAGAGCTCAAACCTCTACCATCACACCTTAGGTATGAATTCTTAGGTCCCAACTCTACTTTTCTGGTGATTGTTAGCTCCTCCTTGAGTGAGAGCCAAGCTCAAGAGTTATGTGGTGTATTGAGAAGACACCGAGGTGCTTTAGGCCATACCATTGATGACCTCAAGGGTATAAGCCCCGCCTTATGCATGCACCATATCACTCTTGAGGATGGCACTACATCAAGCATTGAGAGACAACGAAAGCTACACCCTCAAATGGGGGAAGTAGTTAAGAAGGAAATCACTAAGCTATTAGATTCGGGAATCATTTTCCCCATTTCTAGCTCTAGGTGGATTTCCCCAGTCCATGTTGTCCCAAATAAAGGAGGTATAACCATTGTAGAGAATGAGAGAAGTGAGCTCATTCCTACAAGGACGGTCACGGGATGGCGAATGTGCATAGACTATCGACGTCTAAACACATCCACCAAAAAGGACCATTTTCTCCTTCCCTTCATAATAAAATGCTTGAACGTCTAACAAGACATAAGTATTATTGCTTTCTTGACAGTTATTCCGGGTTTTTCCAAATTCCCATTCACCCGGATGACACGAGAAAACAACTTTTACTTGCCCATATGGAACTTTTGCTTATAGGAGGATGCCTTTTGGGCTTTGCAACGCCCCCGCCACCTTCCAACGGTGCATGATGAGCATATTCGGAGATATGTTAGAGGAGGAGATGGAAGTGTTTATGGATGACTTCTCGGTGGGTGATGTTTCATTTGAGATTGTTTTGTGAACCTTGACAGGTGTTTGGCTCGTTGTGAAAAGGTGAACTTGGTCTTGAATTGGGAGAAGTGTCATTTCATGGTCGAGGAAGGCATAGTCCTTGGCCACAAAATCTCTCATAAGGGTATTGAGGTGGACAAAGCAAAAATTGAGGTTATTGAGAAGTTACCACCTCCGGTTAATGAGAAGGGTGTGAGGTCTTTCTTGGGGCATGTGGGGTTTTATAGGAGGTTCATCAAGGATTTCTCTCTCATAGCAAAGCCCCTTAACGATCTTCTCCAAAAAGACGACGAGTTCAATTTTGATGATAGATGCTTGGAAGCCTACAACAAATTGAAGTGCTTTAATTTCTACCCCTATTGTCCAAGCTCTAAGATGGGAGTTGCCATTTGAGTTAATGTGTGATGCAAGTGATACGGCTATAAGAGGTGTTTTGGGTCAAAGAGTGGAAAAGAGGCTCCATGTCATCTATTATATGTCCAAGACTTTAAGTGGTGGTCAACGAAACTACACAACAACGGAGAAAGAAATTTTGGCTATTGTTCATGCATTTGAGAAGTTCTGTAAAAGCTTGTCGGGTTCCAAAACTATCTTCTTCACGAACCATGAAGCTCTCAAGTACGTTATGGATAAAAAGGAATCAAAGTCTAGGTTAATCCGTTGGGTGCTTGAACTTCAAACCTTTGATATATAGATTAGAGACAAGAAAGGAGCGGAAAATGTTATGGCGGACCATCTCTCTCGCCTTGAGGATTTCTAAATTCTTGATGATGGCTCTCCTATTGAAGATAGGATGCTAGATGACTCCTTATATGGCATTAATGAGATGGAGCTCCCTTGGTTTGCCAATTTGGTCAACTACCTTGCATGTGGGGAGTTTCCACCCTCATTCTCTAAGAATAAAAGGAAGAAGCTCAAGAGAGAATCTAGGCACTATTTGTGGGATGACCCCATCTTGTACAAACGTGGGGTTGATGGCTTACTAAGGCGTTGTGTCCCAAATGAAGAGGTGCCAAATGTTTTGAAGATGTGCCACTCGGATCCTAGTGGAGGTCATATGGGTGTTTCTAAAACCGCTTCTAAGATTCTCCAATGTGGTTTATGGTGGCCGCATCTCTTCAAGGATACATGGGGTTTTTTCAAGACATGTGACCGATGTCAACGAACCTGAAACATCTCAAAGAGGAATGAAATGCCTCAACAACCTATCCTTGAGTTAGAGGTGTTTGATGTGTGGGGAATTGACTTCATGGGACCATTTCTTTCATCTTATGGGAATCAATACATTCTTGTGGCGGTGGATTATGTGTCAAAATGGGTTGAAACCCTTGCCTCCCCAACAAATGACCACAAGGTGGTAATGAAATTATTGTTCAAGAAGATCATATTCCCAAGGTTTGGCGTTCCTAAGGCGGTGATTAGTGATAATGGTTCACATTTTGTGCACAATTCCTTTCAAAGGATGTTGAAGAAGCATAGAGTTCATCAACACTTTGGTCTTCCATGTCATCTTCAAACTAATAGACAAGTTGAGGTGTCTAATCGTCAAATCAAATTAATTCTTGAAAAGACGGTTGCTAGGAATAGGAAAGACTGGTCGGACAAGCTTGATGATGCTTTATGGGCCTATAGAACGGCTTTTAAGACTCCTATTGGCACCACTCCTTACCGCTTAGTTTATGGCAAATCTTTTCACCTTCCGGTAGAGCTTGAGCATCGCACTCGTTGGGCTATTAAGAAGATCAACTTCGATTTGGCCAGTGCGGGAGAACAACAGTGGCTTGACCTTCATGAGTTAGAAGAGTTTCGCTTGGATGCCTACGATTGTGCTAGCATTTACAAATCCCGATCAAAGGAGGTGCACGACAAGCTCATTGAGAAGAAAGAATTCAACGTCAGTGACAAAGTTCTCTTCTATAATTCAAAGATGAAATTATTCCCCGAGAAACTTATGTCTCGTTGGAGTGGACCATTCATTGTTCAAAAGGTATTCTCTCATGGAGTTGTAGAAATTGTTCCTTTGGATTCCTCAAGTTCATTCAAAGTCAATGGCCATAGACTTAAACGCTATTACGATGGAGTTTTTGTCGACCTTGTTCACAAGATGTCTCTCTATCATCCACCTTGAAAGGGTGGAGAGTGTCAAGCTAATGACTTAAACGAGCACTTTTCGGGAGGCAACCCGAATTTCTAATCTTCTATCTCATTTTTCTTTGATTTTGTTAATTTTTCTTCCTTGGTGTTTTTGGTTTAATTGATTCTTTTCTTATTTTCTTGATTTTAGGTACTTCCGGGTTGATGAAAGTTTGATTGCCAACAATCTTAGTGCCATTTTTAAGATTGGAAAGTTTATACACTATGTTTGAAGATTACAATCAGAATTGAATCTTGGTGGGTACATAATGGCGCTCTTTTGAATCAGGGATGTTAATCCGTCGTTAAGTAGCTACGAATCTGCCATGTTTAGTGGGTATAACAATCCCGGGATGAGCTAGTTCCTCGTGCCCACCGATGCACCCACGAGCTGCTTACACCGCGTGCGACCCAGGTTTGCGCGGACGCACACGATGCTTGCGTGAGCGCGCGAGATGCTGGCGCGGGCGCGCATCACTGCTGTTTGCCCCCTTTAAGTCGTGCATCCTCTCTTTTCCTTCACTTTTTATCTCTCTTCTCTATTCTTCTATTCTTACTTCACGTAATTTCATGATTTTTATTGCTTCATTTTATTACATCATCATTCTTAATCACTAATTCACTTAGTCTAATATTCCATAATCCCCAATTTCTTTTTCTATTTTTGATTTCTCTCTCCTAAATTTGGGATTTTGGGTAATTTAGTTTATGGGTTTGGAACTTACATTTAGAGTCTATACTTGTTATTTTGCATCATTATTTCACTTCACTAAAGGTTTCCTAATCACTTAAGGTATGATTTATATGATTATTTGTTTCTTTTGCTCTACCTTTTACTTAGAAATCCTTAGTTTATGCTGTAATGGTGGTTCCATTTTGTTTGTTTCATTACCCTCTACTTTGTGTGTATGATGACTATTGATGATTGTTTGAAGCTTTATTATCATGATTTTGCTTGATTGTTTGCAATTTTGGTCCTACCATTGTTGGTCATTTTCTTTTTCTTTGAGTATGATTAGTAGTTCTATTTCTCACTTCACCTTTGATTGGAAAAATGTTGCTCTTAGAATTGTGCTTGATGATTCATAACTTCTTGCCATTGTTAATTGATTGAATGAGCCTTAATATTTGTTGTGCTTAAACTTGCTCATTTCATCTTTGCTCTTGGCTATTGGTTATTACTAGTTCTTCAATGATATTCTTTGAGCCACATCCCATTGATTTGAACTCTTGAATTTTTGTGTTGTAGATGGCACCACTCCGTCGTTCTAAGAGAGCCCGTGGTTCCCTTAGTTTCTCTTCTAGAGTGGTTGTACCACCTCCCTCACATGTTAGTGAGACATATGGGATTAAATTCACAAAGCAAGAGCATTGGGATAACTTTGTACGAGTCTCTTCCAGGAAGCTACTTTCAACACGGTTTTATGAAGCTTCAACCACCACCAAGCTTGGAATTGATGAGGACGTTCTGAGGTTGGCTAGAAACTTGGGCTTAGAAGATTTCATTGGTTTAAATGCCCCTACCTATGCCCGATTGACCTTCGAGTTCCTTTCTTCACTTAAGATTCATGAAACCGAAGAGAATGGCATCACCGTTCAAACTCTCTCCTTTCAAGTCTTCAACAATGACCATGTGGATTTGGTTTCTTTCATCAATGAGATATTCAAGTTCCCTTCTCCGGTGGATGATAAGGAGTATATTTATCCGGTTTTCGACCCGTTGTAAAGCGATCATGGTTATAAGGAGCGACGATGGTAGAGGC